AGGTCCATCCATGTTGCTACACATGGCCAGATTTCATTGTTTCTCATTGCCATGTAGTATTCCATGGTATAGATAAACCACATCTTCTTGATCCATTCATCTGTTGATGGACACTTAGGCTCTTTCCATGTTTTAGCTATTGTGGAGAGTGCTGCTATGAACTGAAAACTATTCTTTGTGGAAGAATGGTTATGGGGGCCCCTGGGTGGCTCAGTCAGTTGAGCACCCGACTCTTGATTTTGGGTCAGGTCATGATCTCATGGTTTGTGAGATCGAGCCCCATGTTGGGCTTTGCACGGACAGCGTGCAACCTGCTTTAGATTCTCTCTTTCCCCCCTTTGTCTACTCCTCTCTCACTTTCTCTCTCTCTCAAAATAAATGAATAAAAATTAAAAAATTAGAATGGTTGTGATATTTTTAAGAGGCAGTGTGTGATGTGATTAAAGAGCACAGATTCTGAGCCTGGGTAGCCCAGCTCCAGCCCAGCTGTGAAATTTACACCTCAGTTTCCTTATCTGTAAAATGTTGGTAAGCATAAGCCTTCCTTATAGGGTTGTCACAGTGAGTTAACATCAAAAACTTACAGAAAAGGCCTGGTGCTTAAGAAGTGGTGTATTGGTTTGAGATATTATGACAATGATAAATGTCAAATGATAAAAGCAGCAACTTGCAAAATTAAAAATATGTTTATAAAAGCATTGCTACTAAAGAAAGAAAAAGAGTTATATTTATGTTAGGACTATGCATGATTTAATGTTTTCCTTTCTATTTTCCTGTCTTTTCTAAATTTTCTTTAATGAATATGTTTTTTGGTACAATGGAGAAAATAATATTGTAGTGGAAAAAGAAGATTACTCTTTGGTTTTTACACTGTTGCCAAAGGGTAGTAAGTTAATTTGTTCTGGGGCCTATAGGGATAATGTGTATTTTTTGTGCTATGATTAGTGGTTGGGAACAGTCACAGTAGTATTCATCATATGGATCTTCCCATTTAATTTTAGAAAACTAGTCCAACCTCATTGTTTTTCAGTTGTTTTAGGTCATTTTTTTTTAAAGCATGAAGATGGGTAAAGTATGTTTTTATTTTCTTCCCAAAAAATGTTTACTTAATTTTACTTATTTTGAGAGAGAGAGAGAGAGCACTCGCGCCCGCGTGCGAGAGAGGTGTGTGTGTGCAGGGCAGGGGAGCCAGAGCAGGGGTGGGGAGAGAGAGAATCCCAAGCAGGCTCCCCACTGTCAGTGTGGCCTGAGGCAGGACTCAGTCCCACATGCTGTGAGATCACGACCAGATTCAAAGTCAAGAGTTGGATGCTCAACCAGCTGAGCCATCCAGGCTCCCCAAAGGTGTTTACTTTAGATTTTACATGTGTAATAGGTAAGCTTCTATGTTTGCTTAGTCTCATCATTATACTTGGTATATTTCTTATTTTCTTTTGGGCATTTTACTAAGCGCTAGTAATTTATTATGAGCAATGGAATGAGGGTTATGTATTTAAACTTCTCAGAGACAGTAACAACTATTATTTCCACTTTTTAGGATCTGGAAAATCTTACACCATGATGGGCACAGCTGACCAACCTGGATTAATTCCAAGGCTTTGCAGTGGACTCTTTGAACGAACTCAGAAAGAGGAAAATGAAGAGCAGAGTTTTAAAGTAGAAGTGTCCTATATGGAAATTTATAATGAAAAAGTTAGAGACCTTCTTGATCCCAAAGGGTAAAGGATTTTGAAACGTTAATGTGATAGCATTAAAGACTACAATAGACTTATAAATTGACTTAAGTAAAATTTTTCATATTGAACTCTGGTAGAATTCTTTATTTACTTATCATCTTAGTGCTTTTATCTGTTTATCTGGTTATTGTCCTTATGACTTTGTTTTCAGTTGCATTGAGCAGCTTCCTGCAGCCAATTCTGGCTTGTGAGTTAGAGCTGAGTTGGGGAGGGAAGTATTGTTGAGCCACATGTATTTGCCTCATACTGCAAATTTCTCACATACATCCAAAAACACAGACAAAAAATATGCAGTGAAAATTAAGTTGCTTAGTATTATGAGGGACTGGTATCTTTAATCAAGTAGGGTTTCTTTGTTTTTTTTTTTTTTTTTTTTTGGTTTTTGTTGAAAGACCAAGAAATTTCAGGTCTTTAGTCATTTTTAATTTGCATGCTAAGAAGAGGCATAATCAGAGACTTAAAACCTGGACTTTAGGATAGTTACTTTTAAAGATTCCCAGAGAGATCCCTCTTGCACTGTTGGTGGGAATGCAAACAGGTTCAGCCACTCTAGAAAACAGTGTGGAGGTTCCTCAAAAACTTAAAAATAGAACTACCCTATGACCCACAATAGCACTGCTAGAAATTTACCCAAGGGATACAGGAGTGCTGATGCATAGGAGTACATGTACCCCAATGTTCATAGCAGCACTTTCAACAATAGCCAAATCATGGAAAGAGCCTAAATGTCCATCAGCTGACGAGTGGATCAAGAAGATGTGGTTTATATACACAATGGAATACTCCTTGGCAATGAGAAAGAATGAAATCCTATCATTTGTAGCAACATGGATGGAACTGGAGGGTATTATGCTAAGTGAAATAAGTCAGTCAGAAAAAGACAAATATCATATGTTTTCACTCATATGTGGATCTTGAGAAATTTAACAGAAGACCATCGGGGTGCCTGGGTGGCTCAGTTGGTTGAACGTCTGACTTTGGCTCAGGGCATGATCTCATGGTTTGTGGGTTTGAGCCCTGCGTCAGGCTCTGTGCTGACAGCTAGCTCAGAGCCTGGAGTCTGCTTCAGATTCTGTCTCCCTCTCTCTCTGTCCCTCCTCTGCTCACACTGTCTCTCTCTCTTTCTCCCTCTCCCTCTCTCTCTCTCTCTCAGAAATAAATGAAACAACAACAACAACAAAAGACCATGGGGGAAGGGAGGGGGGAAAAGCAGTTACAAACAGAGAGGGCGGGAGGCAAACCATAAGAGACTCTTAAACATTGAGAACAAACTGAGGGTTGATGGGGGTAGGGGAGAAGGGAAAATGGGTGATAGGCATGGAGGAGGGCACTTGTTGGGATGAGCACTGGGTGTTGTATGGAGGCCAATTTGACAATAAATTATATTTAAAAAAAAAGATTCCCAGAGAAAAAGAGTATCCCATTTAATGGCATAGACTTTGAAGAGAAGTGGTTTGAAAGTATTAGAAAGCCTTAGAAAATGCTGTTCTCAGTCTGCAGTCATAACTGAATCTAATGAGGAAGATAAGAAGTATCTGAGGAAATCTGTCCATTGCACAGTTTTCTGAGTCAGATTTTAAGGAAGTGCAACAATGGTGAAAAAGAAACAGATAATAACCACAGCCTGTGGCTTAGATATAAGAACAGTGTTTATAAGGTCAAAGAGCCTCATGAGCTGAGACTTACAGAAAATGCAGAGTTAAGAGGGGATGCATAATTATGATTGGATGAAGATGATGATCAAAAAAAGGTGGTCTTAGAAGCAGTGAATCAGTGATGCTCAATCATAAGAAAACATGTCAACCCCTCACTGGTGTCTTATTTTCTTTGACAAAGATAATGATCTTCAGGCCTTTCACAATGACATTCAGTTGGCATTTAGTGTTTCTCTATACAACTTAACATTTAGAGGTGCCTGAGTGGCTTAGTCGATTAAGTGTTCGACTTGGGCTCAGGTCATGATCTCACAGTTTGTGAGTTCGAGCCCTGTGTCTGGCTCTGTTGACAGCTCAGAGCCTGCAGCCTGCTTTGGATTCTGTGTCTTCCTCTCTTTCTGATTCTCCCTTGTTTGTTCTCTCTCTCTCTCTCTCTCAAAAATAAAAAATAAAAAAAAAACATTTATTGAATGATCATTGTTACATGATGAGCACTAGGCAGGTTGTAAAGGAAGATCTCACAGTGTGGAGAGAATAAGAGTTTTGGAGACAAGTGATTATAATACAATGTAATGATGCTTTTAAATTGTGAAGGAGGCTTATACAAAATATGTGATGGCTTGGGGCGCCTGGGTGGCTCAGTCGGTTAAGCATCCGACTTTGGCTCAGGTCATGATCTTAGTGGGTTTGAGTCCCATGTCGGGCTCTGTGCTGACAGATCAGAGCCTGGAGCCTGCTTCGGATTCTGTGTCTCCCTCTCTCTCTGCCCCTCCCCTGCTCGCTTTCTGTCTCTGTCTCTCAAAATAAAGACATAAAAAAATTTTTTAAAAAAATGTGACGGCAAAGAGGGAATAAGGAAACGGGAAGACTTCGTGAAGAGTACTTGATGATTTTTGTGCTGAGTAGCAGTTTGTCCATTAAAAAGTTAGGTGAGAACCATTCAGACATAGGGGGCAGCCTGTGCTAAAAGGATGGAGGTGTAAGACATCACTTGAGTAACCTTGCTGTCCACTGTGGCTGGAGGTCACTAAGCATGAAAGTCCAAACAGGGAACCAAAGGAGGCCAGAGGTAGGAAGGTTCTAGCCTAAGTACCCACATCTTGCTGAATACTGTGTCCTTGTACTTTTCCCGACTCTGCCTTGAATACTTTTCCTTGCATCCTCACCTCTGTGAAGAGTGTCACTTTCTTTGAGATCCGAAAGTTATTCTTTCCAGAAATTCTTAGCTGGAATTTCCACAGTGCTTGTATGCACTAACTCCAGTTTTTATCTACGGTTTGCCTGGAGTCTTTAATAATTTATTATGTTTTTCTTGTGTATAGTTAGCATTTAACAGCAGGGGCTTGGGGTTCACATATCTCTGCATCTGGGTCCCTCTAACTGTTCTTACCTATCGAGCAAATTCCTTATGCTTTCTAGGCCTCCTTTGTACAGAGGGGATGATGATATTACATAATATCACAGAGGGTTGTGAAGATTGGCTGGGATGATACACCTGAGGTCTTAGAACATTTATGTAGGAAGTGCTCACTAAGTGTTAGCTGCTATTGTTTTCTCCATGAAAGTTTCTTGAGGATTTTTGTAATGTTTCTTAAGAGTTGAAGTGAGTGGAATTAAAAACTCTAAAAGTGATCCCTTTTCAGTGAGAGAACTTAGTTTTTTAAAACAAGTACTGATTTTATGAATTCAGTATCTACGGTGTATAATGATGTAATTATATTGTTTTATACTTAGAGAGATGACACAGTATACATTATCTTTAAGAGAAAAGAAAAATGAAAAAGTTATGATATAGTATATCCTGAGATCAGAATTAAGTCAAATATTTGTTCTGTATTTACTGCATGTACAGTTCTATAGCGGTAAGTGAAATTTTTGGTGGTTGATCCTAGGGTGCTAGAGGATTCCAAATCATTAGAAAATCAGTGCATAAAATAAGAATCACTTTAATCTTACCATCAACAAATATTCTTCTTTTCATTGTAATGTTTATATTTATTTATTTATTTTTAATTAAAACTTTTAAGTTTGTTTATTTATTTATTTATTTATTTATTTATTGAGAGACAGAGCCTGAGCATGGGAGGGGCAGACATGAGCTATCATCACAGAGCCCAATCCGGGGCTTGAACTCACGAACCGTGAAATCATGACCTGAGCTGAAGTCAGATGCTTAACTGATTGAGCCACTAAGGCGCCCCTATATTTTTAAAAAATTTTAATGTTTATTTTTGATGGGGAGAGGGACAGAAAGAGAGAGGGACACAGAATTTGAAGCAGGCTCCAGGCTCTGTGCTGTTGGCACAGAACCCGATGCAGGGCTGGAAGCCACAAACTGTAAGATCATGACCTGAGCCAAAGTCAGACACTTAACCTACTGAGCCATCCAGGCACCTCATGTATTGTTTATATTTTTTAAAGAGCTCTTATGAGAAAGAATTCATATACCATACAATCATCAACAAATATTCTTAATGTTTTTCGGTTGATGTAATTAGGTATGCTGTTTGTTCTAGAGTTTGGCAGATTCCCCTTACAGCATTTATTCCTTGTTTTAAAGTGGTATTTATTTATTTTTTAATCATGAATAAGTATTTACTTTTATTGAATTCTTTTCACTACACTTATTGAAATGATGGTGTTTTTAAAAAATTTTTTTAATGTTTTATTTATTTTTGAGAGAGAGACAGAGAGAGAGAGACAGCGTGAGCAGGGGAGGGGCAGAGAGAGAGGGAGACACAGAATCTGAAGCAGGCTCCAGGCTCTGAGCTAGCTGTCAGCACAGAGCCTGATGCGGGGCTCAAATCCAGGAACCGTGAGGTCATGACCTGAGCTGAAGTCGGACGCTTAACCAACTGAGCCACCCAGGCACCCCGAAATGATGGTGTTTTGTTCCCCATTTAGTCTATCAGTGTAGTGTGATAGTGGGCATGAGTCTTTTTCCAGTGTTAAAACAACCTAGTAGCCCTGGGATCAGCCTAGTGTTACATTTTAAAATCATGATTAAATTCAGTGTATTGTTTTGTTTTTGTTTGTTTTTATTCATGACTGAGATTGGTCTGAGCTTTCTTGCGCAGTTAACATTTATTGAGTTCTGTTCTTTGTACCAAATTCTGTGAAATGACAAGTAGATTGTTTGTATTTATTTGACTCTGCATTCTTTGTGGTAGGAAATAGACATCCCACAGTGTACCCTTTTGAGTGATGTGATATTTTACCACATTATGAAGTTTTTCTTACCAGTCAAGATTTTAAATTTTGGTTTGTATTCTTCTTGAATCAAGTTAGTTGGTTCTTTTTCTGGGATCTTTGTTGAATTCAGTGTATATTTTTATGGAGGATGATTGAGTCCTTTTAAAAACATGTTATTGTTTTAAAATTCTTTCTTTTTAATGAACAGAAGTCGTCAAACATTAAAAGTCAGAGAGCACAGTGTGTTGGGACCCTATGTTGATGGACTTTCCAAACTGGCTGTCACAAGCTACAAGGTAATAACATCTTTATGTAAACTGCTTACATTCACTTTAGCAAATTATTTCTTGTTTAAATTGTGATGATGATTTTTTTTCAAAATTAAAAAAATTACAGTTAGCATTACTTAAAGGCTACGTTTTGCAATGTCTGTCTTGAAAAGCTATGTATTGCTATTGGGACAGTTTAATTTTGAGAGAAGGTTGTACACATTTGCAAATCATAACTGTTTATCTGTTATGAGATACATACTTTTTATATTTATGAGCTCTAAAATTGTGATATTCCTTATAGTTACATCTTAAAATTATAAATGTAGCATTTTTCTTCCCTAGCAGTACATAAGATAGTGAAGTCACTTATAGTTTCATTGATTGAATGAAATAAAATATATTAATTGGGTAGTTGGAATTCAAAGTTTGTTTCTAATTTGAGACGATCACTTATTGGCCTTTTATTCTCTTCGTTTTCAAACTTCACAATTCTGCTTTGTGGGAATCCATCAGGCTTTGTGCATTGGGGAAATGAGGGTGGAGTGAGATACTGTGGTGTCATGTACCTTGGATTAAGAGTCACAGAATGTTGATCTGGTGATACTTAATCCTATTGTGTGATTCTTGTATGACTCTGAGTCATCTACCTCACTAAATGCCTCTTCGTCCCAATTTTTGAAATGGAAATTAGTTTTCTTGTCTTGACTATGTTATGAGGTAGGTCCATTTGTTTTGTTCTTTTATCAATTCTGTCATTTGGTCCATGATACTTCATTTAGTAGATATTAGGTACTTCATTTGGTTAACATCTATTAAACACCGATCATGTGCCAGACATTGTGCTAGGTGCTGTGGATATAAAAAATGAATGAAATGGTCCATCCCCTCAAGATGTTTGTAGATGTTATTATAAATTTTTTTTTTAACCATTTATTTGTTTTTGAGAGACAGAAAGAGACAGAGCATGAGCAGGGAAGGGGCAGAGAGTGAGGGAGACACAGAATCTGAAGCAGGCTCTGGGCTCTGAGCTGTCAGTGCAGAGCCTGACGTGGGGCTTGAACTCACAAACCATAAGATCATGACCTGAGCTGAAGTCAGTCGCTTAACCCACTGAGCCACCCAGGTGCCCCTGTAGATGTTATTATAAAGGTATTCTGAAACAACATGACTTTAAGAGCAATGAGAAATTCTTGTTTAGGATTGGTAGTTTAGAGGAGAGGGATACTTAATATGTAGGTGTCTGGGGAGGGTGGAGTCTAGGAAGGCTTCCTGGAGGAGATCAATGAGATAATGCATGTGAAAAGTCTTTGAGAGCCCTAGGGTATTATATTAATGTTAGTAGGTATTGTTATTTTAATAAAGATTATTTGAGGACTTATTTATATGACATTGGAGAGAGATCAAGATATTTTTGAATGCTCAGAGGAGATTGGAAAGTATAAAGAGACATTTTGCTTGTTAAAAAAATTTAAAGGCTCCTGGTGCCTGGGTGGCTCAGTTGGTTGAGCTTCTTACTTTGGCTCAGGTCATGATCTCACAGTTTGTAAGTTTGAGCCCCACAGCAGGCTTGCTGCTGTCAGCCTGTCAGTGCAGAGTCTACTTCAGATTCTCTGTCCCCCTCTCTTTCTGCCCCTCCCTGCTTGCATGCTCCCTCCCTCTCTCTCTCAAAAAAAAAAAATTACAGGGTTCAATACAGAGTTTATGCATGAGACAACAAATTAGAGGCCAATAAATAAGTTGTAGGCTCAATAGGCTGAAACTTTTACATTAAGTCTCAGGATTGTCAGATTTAATAGATCTAAAATGGATCTAAAAAATTTGAATTTTACTTTTTGTGTTGAATTTTCCATTTTGGTGCTTAACTTAAACTTCCTTTATAGTTAATGTTTCTACTTTGAGCCTTTTTATTTGTCATATAGAAATTTGCCTTAAACATAATTATTTTTCATTGATATGGCAAAATAGAAAATTGTGATTTTCAAAGTTTATAGATATATATGTGTGTGTGTGTGTCAGTTAAGGTTTTGTTGGCTGCAAGTAACAAGAAAATATTAATAGGATTTAAGTTCTTTGGAACGTGAATTGTTATCTTTTTTGTTCACTATTTATTCTCAGTATTCAAAATGCACCTAGCATCTAATAGATGACTTCAATATATATTTAAGTGAATAAATAAATGAATGGTGAGAGACTGAGATAGTGGCTCCAAAGATTAGGAGTTCCAGGACCTAGATTCCTTCCAGCTCTCCACATAGAGCCAGCCCTGTAGTAATGCCCTTATTCTCATAGTTTAAAATCTTAGCTCTTAGAACCAAGATGTGATAGCATGCCTACTCCCTTTAAGGAGAATTCCCAGACAACTTTACATCTCATTTGCTTAAACTTAGTCCTTTGGCCAGACTGAGCTGCAAGGGCATCTGGGAAATGTAGTCTTTTAGTTCCACTGCAAGGTGCTCAGCTGAAGTTTGGGTTCCTTTACTAGAAAGGAAAGGAGATGGGGTAAGAGGAGGCAACTATTCAACTCTTTCATACAAACCATCTTTCTTCTTCCTCATTAAAATTCTTATAAGGTAGATGATATCATAGCTCTGTATTGTTACTTATGAAACTAAAATTCAATTTAGTTAATTAACTATTTTTAGAGCTTGTAACATTAAAAAAAATAAAGATCCCATCCTATAATCTTTCAAGTGCATATTGCAGTCTCCTTTTTAGCAGTAATGGCAATGAAGTAGTAGCTCTGTGCAGAACATTCGTTTCTTGCTCTTCTCAGTTTTCAGAAACAGGTCTGGTATAATACACACCAACATGGTGACACAGTGCTATGCCTGTGTGAAGGGTTTACAATTATTTTTGTTTGTTGCTTATTCATATAATCTAATTGAACAGTTGTCTTCTATTGCTTCTGTCATTAAAGAAACAAAATTTTTTGAAATTTCTAGTTAGATGAAGGTTGGCATGGTATGTTTGTCCATCTTGTGGGTCTCCACATGTGGCTTCTAAACTTTCCTAATTCTCAAAGCTGCTACTTTATTTGGCATCTACAGAAAATAAGTGTGTTTTATTTGAGTTCTCAGAGACAGCATTGGCTATTGTACTCTGTGGGTCTTCATATTCACTGAAAAACAAAGTGTAGACTGTAAACTCCAAATGTGGTTGTCTGAGTAATGATACTTATAATGCATTTCATAGGATAGCAGAGTTCTGATGTTTATTTGACAATGAAATGTGTATCTATGACTTGTTTCCACTTAGGATATTGAGTCTCTGATGTCTGAGGGTAACAAGTCTCGTACAGTTGCTGCCACCAACATGAATGAGGAGAGCAGTCGATCCCATGCAGTCTTCAAAATCACCCTTACCCATACTTTATATGATGTGAAGTCTGGGGTAGGTATTCAGATGCCTGACTGTTTTTTGTTTGTTTGTTTAATATTTTTAAAGTAGATAATGATTTATCTCTTTCCATTCCCTTCAGGCATTAGATGACTTAGAATCCTAGCCAGACATGAGTATGAATTAGGAGTCAGCAAGAAACAGAAGCCATTGTAGGTTAACAGAAAGGGATTTAATGGCGGAAACTGGGTGATTACAGCATTGTTAGAACACCTGAGGAGGACTGGGCTCTAGAGTGAATCTCTAGGAATAATCACACAGATCTCACCCATCAAGGATGGGACTACCTCTGAGGCTACCACCAGGGCTGTGAGATCCAGGCATGCTCAGTAGCTGTGATCTAGGCCATAGGAGTTAATGAAACTGAAGCTCCCTGTTAGCGACCCAGAAGCTGGAGAAACTTGTAGAAAACCTCATATTTCTGTGATCCTGCTCGCCAGCAGAAAAAAGCCAAAACAGGCCAGGGGGGTGACCTCTCCTTTACTTCTGCCTTCCAAATCTGAAGCATGTATATCTGCTTGACAGAACCTAACTCACATCCTGAACCCTGGCTGCAAGGGCATCTGAAAAGTTTAGTTTGTAGCCCCATCCTGTCCAACTAAAGGAACATGGAACAGAAGTTAAACACGCTGATGGTTCACAGTCTGTGCCGCAGCACTTTTTTGAGCTTTAAACTTTAATGGCTGATTGCAGAAGCTAATGTTAACTCTAACTAATTTAGTAGAGATTTTTTTTGAAATGTTCCCTCCTGCTAAACAGCTAAGTATTAGAAGGAATAAAATATACTGGGGAAATTGTACCATAAAATTACCAGATTTGTAGAGTAATATTTTGAGTATTTGGTTTTGAAACTTGTCAAGAGTAAACAGAGCCAGAGATGTATAAGCTGCCACCATGCTGAAACCTTCTCTTGTTTTCCCACTTACTTTTTATGTGAATATTTATGTATTTTATCATGATGCCTACTCCCCAGAAAATCAGTTTCAAATGCCAGAAGCTAAAATAATCATGCTGGCAAAAACGCGATATTTTGGTAAGATGTTCATGTGCTGAAAGCATATTTTTCTTTTTTTTTTTCCATCACAGCAAGATTAGTGTAACAACAAAAAGTTCTTTGTTTTCTATTTCCTTTTCAGCATAAAACAAAAAAACATACTGATGACTTTTTTTTAAAAGCCAAAAGCACTTTTGATTTGGGAAGATGAATATCCTTCAGTTAGCAACATGTTTATTTATGGAAATAAATATAAATGTGTATATTAAGGAAAAGTTTTAAGAAATGATCCAGTCTGTGAACCATGATTTAGGCATTGCTTTCCCACATTTCTTATATTGCTGCTAAACTATAAACTGTCTGTTATGTGTGTGATTATGTTATGGAACATTTTTGGTAAAGGAAAATATTAATATGTGTATATGTATAATAACTAGAGAAATATGTAAATTTGACACCTGAAACTATGAAATAAGGGAATTATTATATATAAATAATATGAAAAATTTAAGCAAGTGTTGAGTTTTTGAGAGATTCTGTTATATGAAATAGTAATTTTTTTTGTATCAACAAGAATTGCAAGTATTTTCCCTCGGGATTATTGGTAAATATTTGTGAAATTTAAACAATTTTATGTCATATTAAAATTTATGTTTTAAAACTGCCTTTATGTGAAAAATTTCTATTGGGCTCCCTTCAAATATCCCATTTGGGGGGCAATATTTTTCTGACAGAGCTTTCACTCTTGTCTGAATAACAGAGCCATGTCTAATTTTGTGTGTTTCTATCTACTATAGACTGGACAGTTCTCTTACACTGTTTTGTGTCAGCACGAGATTAACTTTGAAATAATAGCTAATAAATGTTTTAATAAAGAATTTAGATAATACATTCATTTGGTAGAGATGTAGCACTTTCTGTGTTCTTTAACTGTTTATCAGTATTTGTTGACTTACTTTCTAGACGTCTGGAGAGAAAGTGGGCAAACTGAGCTTGGTTGACTTAGCTGGCAGTGAGCGAGCAACGAAAACTGGAGCTGCAGGGGACAGGTTGAAGGAGGGGAGCAACATCAACAAGTAAGTTTTCCAGAAGCTTACTTTTATTATTTTACTGATTTAAGACCCAAGTGGAGGGACTTCTGTGGTTATTAAAAGAATAAAGTTCTGGAATGACTGTGGCTCTAATGAATAAATAATTGAGATTTAAAAATATATATATATGAAAAAAATAAATATATATATATATATATATATATATTTTAATGAGCCCAAACATATTTTATGTTTTGTTGAGATATCTAATGAGGCTGAAGAGCACAGTCAAGTCAGAGGTTTCTCAACAGCAGCCCTGCTGAGATTTGGGGTGATTCTTTGTCCCAGGGACTGTTCCTGTGTGTTGTAGGATGTTTAGCAGCATCCCTGGCCTTACCCACTAGATGGCAGTAGTACCTGCCACCTCTCTTCTCCCACCCTCAGTTTTTTTTTTTTTTTTTTTTTTTTTAATATTTTTATTTATTTTTAGGAGAGAGAGAGAGACAGAGTGAGCAGGGGAGGGTCAGAGAGAGAGGGAGATAACAGACTCTGAAACAGGCTCCAGGCTCTGAGCTGGCAGTCAGCACACAGCCCGACGCGGGGCCCGAACCCACGAACCGCGAGATCATGACCTAAGCGAAAGTCGGACGCTTAACCGACTAAGCCACCCAGGCTCCCCCCACCCTCAGTTTTAAGAACCCGAACATATCTCTGGGAATTGCCAGCTGCCCTCTGTTGGGGCACAGTAGCCCTCCACCTGAGAACCACTGGTCTAAGCTATGGAAAAGGACCAAGTAATCATCTGTCAGGGTCCAGATGTTGATCTCAAACTGGGTATCATGGTCTGAGCCAACATCAACCTGTGTACTAGCCACACTGAGCTTTTCCTTTTATGACTGTTGTGGTGCTTATTTATACCAAGAAGCTAGGGTTTTATTATGTAATATTTTGTGTACCAATCCCTTCATATGGTTATATCTTCTATCTCAAGCTAAATTATTAGCTCCTGGTAAGCAGGAATTCAGAAGGACACCCAATGAGTCACTAACTGGAGATCAAAGAAGACCATCATCCAGATGCTGTGCTATTAGTTTATTATTGAATGGTGATATACATATATGTAAATGATACTGTGTGTGATATGTATATAGATATATATGACATATATAGATATATTCACATATGTTTTTTGCCTTCTCCTAAGTTTTAATGAGTTGTTGTGTTTGTGGCTTCCTTTCTTAAAGATATGTGGTGTTTGTATCTTATCTTAACCTAAAAGTTTAAAACTCATATTGCTGTTTACAAAAATGAAAAAAAATATTTGAGCTAAGCAATTTTATTGCTTGCAGTAGTATTAGAAGAATATTAGCTTTTAGAGTTCCTGTGTTTTTAAACTGAGCAGCAAAATGCTATGACAGTTCTGTTCTCATGCAGGTACAAGGCATCTTGATGTTCAGTTTTTGTGCTAAAATGTGACATTTGATATACTCGGTTTTTTATGATTATTCCGGTTTGTTGCACCATGCAGGTCCCTCACAACCCTCGGTCTGGTTATCTCAGCTCTAGCAGATCAGAGTGCTGGCAAAAACAAGAATAAATTTGTTCCATATCGTGACTCAGTTCTCACTTGGCTGCTCAAAGTAAGCTCCCCACCCCCATCCTTTCTGGCATACTCTTAGTGGTTGGTAGAAAGGAAGAGTAGATTGTTAATTCCTCCTGATTATTATTTCTTCTACTAATGTTCAAATTTAAAATCATTAGGCTCTTACATGATAATCATAGTTTCAGTAGATTAAGCACCTGATCCACCAGAATCTGGAAACAATGGGATTGAGGTCACAGTGAATCACACAATTGCCTCTGAGATTTTGGGGTGTAGCAGAAGGACCTCCTGCTAACTTGATAGCTTCATGAGTCACAGGAAAGGGTTTCCACTGTCTTGTAGACTCAGCTGGACTACTCTGTCTTTCTCACAGGATCCTTTTGTTTGACTGACATTTTGGACCTAAGTTTTCTGTTTAACATCAAGACACTCACGATCATTTTAATTTATTTTCTGCTCTTAAAGGTGTTGTTTAAGGATACAAAGTAGAGCATACAGTCATTAACTTGTTAATTGATTTAGTATGTATGAGAGAGATGGATATGAGAAAGAAAGAAGACTGTGGAATGCTATGAGGAGACCATAAAGAAATGTAAGACCCTTCTCACCCTATTATGGCTCAGGATCTAGTAAGGGAGATAAGATGTGTACACAAAATATTATACAAGAATCAGTGATTCCATAAGAGAGATAGTAAAGACATGTAAGGAGTTTGGTGAAGAGAGAGGCTATTTCTAGGTCTCTTCCAGTCTTCAAGTTTCCCTGTAGTCTTTTTTTTTTTTTCTTTAAGTGTATTTATTTATTTTGAGAGAGAGAGAAAAAAAACAAAAAACAAAAAACAGGGGAGGACGCACAGAGAGATGGAGAGAGAGAATCCCAAGCAGGCTGTACACTTCCAGTACAGAGCCTGACATGGGGCTCAGTCTCAGGAACCATGAGATCATGACTTGAGCCAAAGTCAAGAGTCAGATGTTTAACTGACTGAGCCACCCAGGCACCCCTCCCTGTAGTCCTGATAGACATGGTGAATTGGATATTGGACAGGGAGCTAGAGGATCGAAAATACAGCAACAGTTTAACTCTGTATAGAGTTGCCAGTCTGGAACAAAATATTTTACCTAATACTCCTTTAATTTTCATTTTTTTAAATAAAGAAATAATTTTATGAGCCCTATTTAGTTCTATGATAGGTTATTCTGTCACTGGTCAAGAATTTATTGAATACTTGTTGCTACTGTGCTAGGGATTGAGAATGTAAAGGTGGGTTAAACACCAATCACTTAGTATAGGACACAACTCCTTTTTTTAAGCTGTTTTTAAATTTTATTTTGATTCCAGTGTAGTTAACATACGTTACATTAGTTTCAGTGTACAATATAGTGATTCACCAGTTCCGTACATCACCCAGTGCTCATCACAGCAAGTGCACTTCTTTATCCCCATCCCATAAATCACCTCCCCACCCCGGTAACCATCAGTTTGTTCTCTATAGGCAAGAGTCAGCTTCTTGGTTTGTCTTCCTTTCTCCTTTTTTTTTGTTCCCTTTGCTTGTTTGTTACATTCCACATATGAGTGAGATCATATGTATTTGTCTTTCTCTGACTAACTTATTTTGCTTGGCATTATAGTCTGTAGCTCCATCCAAGTAATTGCAAATGGCAAGATAGTATTCTTTTTCATGACTGAATAATATTCCATCCATTCCATTTTTGTGTATACACACACACACACACACACACACACACACATACACACTAGTGGTGTGTATATATATGTATATATACCACTTCTTTATCAATTCATCAGTCGATGGATACTTGGGCTGCTTCTGTAATTCGGCTGTTGTAAATAATGCTGTTATAAGTGCTGGGATGCATGTATCCCTTTGGATTTGTGTTTTTTTATTCTTTGGGTAAATATCCAGCAGTGTGATTACAGTACTTCTATTTTTAACTTTTTGAGGAACCTCCATACTATTTCCAGAGTATCTGCATCATTTTATATTTCACCAACAATGTAAGAGGGCTTGTTTTTCTCCACATCCTCGCCAACACTTACTGTTTCTTGTGTTTTTGATTTTTAGCCATTCTGACGGGTATGAGGTGATATCTCATTGTAATTTTAATTTGCACTTTTCTGATAATGAATGATGTTGAGCATCTTTTCATGTGTCTGTTGGGCATCTGGATGTCTTCTTTGGAAAAATGTCTGTTCATGTCTTCTGTCAACTTTCTAATTGGATTATTTATTTATTTTGGTGTTGATTTGCATAAATTCTTTATATATTTTGGATACTAACCCTTTATCAGATAAGTCATTTGCAAATATCTTCTCCCATTCAATAGATTGCCTTTCAGTTTTGTTGATTGAGAAGCTTTTTATTTTGAAGTGGTCCTAATAGTTTATTTTTGCTTTTATTTCCCTTGCCTCAGGAGATATATGTAGAAAGATGTTGCTACAGCTGATGTCACAGACATTTCTATGCTCTCTTCTAGGATTAAAAATTTTTTTTAAAATATTTATTTATTTTGAGGGGGGGAGGGCAGAGAGAGAGAGAGGGAGACACAGAATCCAAAGCAGGCTTCAGGCTCCAAGCTGTCAGGACAGAGTCCAATGCAGGGCTTAAGCCCATAAACCATGAGATTATGACCTGAGCTGAAGTCAGACACTTAACCGACTGAGCCACCCAGGTGTCCCCCTTCTAGGACTTTTTATGGTTTCACCTCAATTAAAGGTGTCTTTAATCCATTTTGAATTTATTTTTGTGGGTGGTGTAAGAAAGTGGTCCAGTTTCATTTTTTTGCATGTAGCTGACACCATTTGTTGAAGAGACTTTCTTTTTCCCATTGGATATTCTTTCCTGCTTTGTTGAAGATTAATTGACTATGTAATTATGGGTTAATTTTTGGGTTTTCTAGACTGCTCCATTGATCTATGTTTCTGTTTTTGTGTCAGTATCATTCCATTTTGATTTCTACAGCCATGTAATATAACTTGAAATTTGGAATTGTTTTTCAAAATTGCTATGACTATTCAGGGTCTTTTGTGGTTCCATACAAATTTTAGGATTCTTTGTTATAGTTCTGTGAAAAATACTCTTGGTAGGGACTGTATTAAATGTGTAGATTGCTTTGGATAGTATGGACTTTAACAATATTTGTTCTTCCAAGGTGACACAACTTTTGACTAGTCCACCACATGTTTGTAAAAGAAGTTGGGTTTTCTCCTATTTTCTACTCTCTCAAAAGGCTAGTGGTATTCAGCTTTACTTTCTAAAACTATGCACATCATTTGAGCATGCTTCATTAAGTAAAACTGGCCATAGTATAAAAAATCAGGTAGATTACTTCCACTGGCCAAAATGCAAAAAAATTAGAAATTTAAAACAAAAGAATAAACAAACAAAATTTGATAATTAAAAACCACTTGTAGATAGGTCTTGAATTTAAAGGGTATTACAAAACATTAATTGTGCTGGTCTACGTGCATCAGTAATTAACCTTGAAATCTCATGTGTTTAATTTCCAGGAGACATTTTGATAAGATACTCATTTCTTCCTCAGACTTTCCCACAGAAACATTTCCTGATCATTCATGATTATTCCCTGGATGTACCTGATTTAAAAGACATAATATTCATTGTCCTATTGTTTCAGTGTTACTATCCCAGTCCATTTAAACAAACACTAGGACATTCTTTTATTAAATTAATTCACAGAATTAAAATGGCTGACGTAATTATTGAGTGTCAACCATAGGTTGGAGGCCAGGAGAATCAATTGCCATTCAAAGTACTTCATATACATGATCCCATTTACTTCTCTGAAAGCAAATGGTAATGTTCCTGTGTTATAATGGGACAGTTGTCGCAGAAATAAGATTGGAATCCAGGACTGACTTCACTGCCCATCTTCTCTTGCCTGGGTCATATAATGTACATCTTGTCAAGGTTAGTTTTCATTAGAAGGAGGAACACTTTACTTTTACCACATGTTAATAGAAACTCATGAAAATACTTGAAGAGCAAAACTAAATATTTTTAAAAATTTACTTCATCTTCCATTAAATAAAATTAAGTTGTAATTGTAACTTCTGTGTGTCAATTCTTAGGCTAAAAAATGAAATTTTCTTGACTTTTGTCATATTTTTTACTTAAAAACCATATGACATTCTTTGCCATGGGTAACTTTTGCAGCAAGATCACAAGAGGAGCATTTTTGCAAATTCCAGTGTTTAGACAATTTTCCCAAAGGCCTCTTGGAATCCATTGATACATAAATTAGTCTCCTTTGAAGTAGCTTTTATGTCCCTTTTGCTCTCTCCTTCTTTAATTCTAAATTAGTGTAACTCTCCCTGATCCTTGTTCGACTTTGTATGATTCTAGTATTCTCTAACATAACTATCATTGAACTCAAAGAATTGCTCAGCCTTTATAAGATTTGCAATTTCTTTTAAAAGTGTTTTTGCATTGTATTTGCATTATAATTGTGTTATGCTCTTGATACTTACCACATCTGAGAGTCAGAGAAAACGAGTACCCTAAGTGATTTGGTGGGGCATAGACATGAGTGCTCTTCTCTCAATCTTCTCTTGGGGTGGGTTGAGTGGGTTACTCATTTGGTAAGTGGTCAGTGGAGAACCATTTCTTACCAAGAGATATTTTTTTACTTCTCTGTGTAACCTTCTAAATATGAGTCTCTTAACATCAAATAATTTCTGGTAACAAATGCTCAAATAATGACTATCTTTTGACTACATCCGTCTTCTTCCTTCTTCCTGCCACTTACCTAATGAAGGTGACTTTCATCTCTTGTCTGGATGATTGAAACATCTCCCTTGATGATCTATTCCTTCTTTATAGTAAGGTTGTACTATCTTAAAATTAATACTCATCTTAAACTTCAATCTCTTCAATAATTCTCTTAGAGGCCCTTATGATAAAGTCCATATTCTTCAATGACTTGTGACTTATTAGGCCTTTAGTAATCTGATTCCTCACTACCTCTTATTGTTTTTCTTGCTCTTAATATGATCAGTTCTAGCTAAGTGATGAGTCCTCTTACTTCTAGGACATTACTCTTACTGTGTTTGGAACATTCTTCCTCCTCTCTACAGTCTCCCCTCCATTGGCTCTCACCACAAACCTTTATTTGGACTATGCTTATTCATCTTTAGGTCTCAGATGTCACTTTCTCTGAAAGTCTTCCCTACCATTTCAAGACTGGGCTTTCTGCTAGTCGTCTGTTTTCCATGTCGTGTTTGCTCATCAGCTTCCTACCCCCCAAATGGTAAAGGCTGTGAATACTTTTCAGCTCTGCTCTGAACCAGCATTATGACCTTTGTTAAGTCCGCCAGTCTTCCTGGGTCTCAATTTTTCATCTGTAAAATGAGGTAATTTCATTAGATGACTTCAAAGAGTTCTTCCAGCTTTAAAAAATCCTGCCTTCCAAAATTCAATTTCTTACCTATGTCCATTTAATTTGCAGTTGCCACATTTGAAACAAAGCTTGTCTGATTTGCCTAATTAAACAATTAAAGAGTAACAAGAAGCTTTATACTTTCTCCTTGAATGAGTGCCAATTCTTTTGTTGCTGGTTCCTTTTCGCTAATGGCATGAGGCCATTTTTGAATATAAGCATATTGTTACTCATGCACAAGGGCTTTTAAAATATCAAGTATTTGTCATTTGCCAGGTTTCCTTTTCTCAGCACAAATTGAAGCACAATATGCATGCTTTTTCCCTTTGGTAGTTATTGTTACAAATCCTCTTTTACCCAATAGCATTTGCTGTTCATGTGGGCTAACAGAATGCTGTAGTTCTTGAAGGTCAACACTCCACCATAGTGCTGCTGGTGAACCAAATTGAAATCTGAGATGTAATTCATGTGTTCTTTATATATAACATTGGAATTTCATTCATGTGCGTCTTGGCATTCTTCTGGATGTTGCCAAAGCTGGGCACCAACAGTGTGAGATCAGTGTCTAGAAGTGAAGAGGAAAGCAAGGGATCACATAGACTTGGCGGAAGTCGCTTCTGCTTTCTAGAGCCCAGATTACTTATGTTTCCCTTCTTTTCATGCATGAGAGTGTATTTCCTTCAAAGACCTCATTAAACTGTGTTTTCTGTGGGAAACCTAATTTTCAGTATTGGATGAATAAACAGACACATGGTCTGTGATTGTATTGAAATGTTAGTAGTACCTAGGGAATTATTTTTACTCTGGCACTAGAACAAAATAACTTGGAAAGCTATCCAGTCACCTTACCTGCTCCTCAGGTCTGAGCTCTTGCTCTGTTGCCAAGTGGTACTTTGTTTCTGTGTTATTGTAGGTGGCTGTGGGGGAGTGAAATCATATTGGACTTGAAGGCAGAATACAACTGGATTCGAATATTGTTCAGTTTACTAGTTCTGGATCTTCAGGCAGAGTATTTGACCTCCTTTGTCAGAACAAACCTCTGGGCTTTTTTTCTTTTTTTTTTTTTTTTCAGTAAAATAATCCAATTCACAAAAGTCCGAGGACTAAGTAAAATTTGTACAAGGATGGTATAAATCACAGATTGTACAAACAAATTTTAGATATATTGATATTGGAAAAATCTTTCATATTCAAAGGTAAAAAAATTGGCTTTTTTATGACCTTTGATTTCCCATATTGGCCTAATTGAGTATTCTATTTTGAAAATCCATAATTCAGTGATATCCTATTGCTGAAAGCAGATATCATGTCTCTTTTTTGAGGTTGTTCCTTTCATCTTGGGATAGTATATTAGTGCATTATTAGTTGGCTATTGCTATGTAACAGATTACCTCTAAAACTTAATAGCTAAAAACAACAACCATTTATTATCTCATAGTTTCTATGGGTCAGGATTCTGGGTGTGGTCTAACCAAGTGGTTCTGGCTGGGGTCTCTTACATGGCTGCAATCAAAATGCCCTCTGGGGCAGTCATTGCAAGGTTTGACCTAGGATTGGATCTACTCACCTGAGTGGTTGTTGACAGGCTCCAGGAGATCTCTTTCCATATTCACTCTTGAGGTCTCTTCATAGGGCCACCTTACCTCATGACAGTGGTTTCCCAAGAGTGAGAGAAAACACCCACAACAGAAGCCATAGTCTTTTTATACTCTAACCGCAAAAGTGACATGCCATCACTTCTGCTGTATTCTGTTCCTTAGAGGTAAATCAGAAGTCCTGCCTATACTCAAGGGAGGGAGATGGTACGGGGGTATGAATACCAGGAGGTGAGGATCATGGGGGGCTGTTGTAGCTGCTGCCTGCCACAGGCGGGTGACATACAGCCCTTGGGTGGTGAAGTGGAGTCCGGGTGACTTCATTTCTAGTTTTGTAACTCTGAGTTCTTTGTAGTTGTTTTTTAATATCCTCAAATGAAAATTTTTTGAATTTGTTGGATCCTGTTCTAAGGCCCATTTCCCCATAGTGATCAGTTTTAGTATAATGAAGAGAGTTATCTTTTCTTCAGCACCCTTGTCTGAACTGGAGAAGTGGTCATGCAGAAAGTAAAGCCTGTTTTAGTAGTTTTTGAAGTGCTGTTGGAGAGAATAGAGAATAGAATCAGGTACCTCCAACATATCTTTTGTTTTATAAGACTATAATTCTACCTAGAATTCTTGAAAAATTCTTGAAAAAAATTACAAGATGACTGATAGCTTGAAACAGCAACACTTTCTGAGCCATTATTTGGGCTTCACATAGACTCCAAGTACATGGTATCATGCGCTAGATTGTAGATAATCACTCTTTGATCAAATAACAAATAGCATTACGATTGTTCAGTTCCTTTAAGGAAGATTCTTAGACATTTAAGAAATCATTGTTTTTTATTTGAGTAGTCTGCTGACTTACGACGTCATCTTGACTGTTAAAAGAGGAGAAATTAACTTAGAACCAAATGTTCTTAAACTGAAATAAATGGAGGCTTTTTTGTATTTCCCTGTCCTTTCTTAATAACCAGATCTCCCTCCTGCAGAAAAGTAGCTTGGCAGAGAAGAAAGAGCATGGGACTAGAGTTCAGTATATCTGTATTTCAGTCCTAGTTTTGTCCTTAAATATGTGTTCTCTTACCCTTTCTGACTTCAGCTTTCTCCAACTTGAAAATCCTACTCAATTTCTGGGGTGCCTGGGTGGCTCAGTCTGTTAAGTGTCCAACTTCAGCTTAGGTCATGATCTCATGGTTCATGGGTTCAAGCCCCGCATCAGGCTCTGTGCTGACAGCTCAGAGCCTGGAGCCTGCTTCAGATTCTGTGTCTCCCTCTCTATCTGCCCCTCCCCGTCTCGGGCTATGTCTCTGTCTTTCTCTCTCAAAAATAAACATTAAAAAATAATAAAATAAAAATCCTACTCAATTTCATTCTTCATCTAGGACAGTCTTGGGGGTAACAGCAAGACAGCCATGGTGGCCACTGTCAGTCCAGCTGCCGATAACTATGATGAAACCCTTTCAACTCTGCGGTATGCAGATCGCGCCAAGCACATCGTGAACCATGCTGTGGTGAATGAGGATCCTAATGCACGAATTATCCGGGATCTCCGGGAAGAAGTAGAAAAGCTCCGAGAACAGCTAACAAAAGCAGAGGTATAAGGCACAGCCAAGCCACACATTATGGGTCTAGGAAAAGCTAGAACTCGAATTTTCTTCCTCTTAGCTGTAAGTGATAAGTACTCCGCTTAAAATTTTTGAGTTTCCTATAGTAAGAGAAATTTGAGGTGAATAATAAATAAAGACAGATCATCAGAGCTGAAATTTAGAGATTTTTTTTTACAGGTATGAAAGGATTGTACAGAAGGGGAGAATATAGGGAATTGAGAAAATGTTCCTTTCCAAAGTACAGGCATCAGACAAGAAAGAAGAGGTATAATAGAATAAGAGAGAAAGGGAGAGAGAGACGCTTGAAACAAAATGTATATAATTTTAGTGCAGAAAATGGTGGAGAGTGTGCATAGACTAACTGGAAGAGAACAAAAGCAGATTTTTGCTATATCATTTGTTCACGAGCTGAAGTCATAATGTAAATCTTAAAGACATCTTCCACTTCTTGATAATCTAGTTTCCCCCTGTGGCTTAATTATGTTTGTAGACAAAGTATTGTATAGCAGAAATACCCACCTGTTTAGAAGTGCTCTATTTCCACTACCCTATGTACATTCTATAATGTATGGTATTTACATTCCATTATTGAATTTGAAACCTACACAGTTCTAACCTACAACCAAATGATCACCCTCTTTTCTTTTTTTTTCTTTTCTTCCCTCCCCTCCCCTCCCCTCCCCTTCCCATCCTCTTTTCAAAAGTGAACTAAAATAACAGATTCAGGATCTCTACTTTATTAGTATTTCTCTTTCCACAATTTCCCAGCACTATGTGGCTCTTTCCTGGAGTTGGGACATTAGCCCTTTCTTTTCTTATAACCTGTTTTCTGGTAGTAAATTGGCAAAATACATGGTCACAACATTATCTTGGTTATATTTTGCCTGTTGAAACTTATCCTGTTTTCATAGGAATAATTTTACAGTTTATCAAGATTCTTTGAAATTTTGTTCTGTCTTCCTGGTATTAATAACGCCGTTCAGTTTGTAACATGTACAGATTTCGTCTGTGCATACCTGAATCAATACCTGAGGTCATCAGTAGAGACCAGAATGAATCCTGTTTATGAGTCTTAATATATGACCTTTTGGGTTTTAAAATTAAGCCCTTGAGAGCTTGAACTTTCTGTGAAGCTAGATCTTCACAGTGACAATTGGTTGGAGGAAAAGGAAGCAGTTAAGTCTTCCTTTCAAACCCACCTTGGATGACTGAATGAGCTTGTGGGGTATATACCGTCTGTATGCTTGTCAGTGGCGTTCATTGTTAGGTCTAAAGTAGATCAGAGACCTTGGTGAATTGTAGAGCTTAGACGAGGCAGATTGTTATTTTTATCCTTCTAGATTTAGTTAATGCTTTCTTCAGGGCATGGTACAGACATTTCATGAAATAAACATTTTGCTTATAGGCAATGAAATCTCCAGAGCTAAAAGACCGGCTAGAAGAATCAGAGAAGCTGATCCAGGAAATGACTGTCACCTGGGAAGAGAAATTAAGGAAAACCGAAGAGATTGCACAGGTTTGTGCTTTCTGATTAAAGATAGAGAAAGCTCTGGGCAGTTTGTGGATTGCAACTCAGATGGCATTTGAGTTCCTTTTTAAATTTTTTTAGCTTTGAAAATGGCAAATCTAGCATCACTAATAAGAACTTAGATTGAAGAGTAAGTGCCTTACAAAGTTAATTTGAAGGATAAAGAAGACAAATTACAATTTATTGTTCATTATGTAAGAAATCTTTTTTAGGGTCATAAAAATTTTTTAAATGAAATAACTACTTTGTAGCCTCTGACTCTGAACACCCAATTCTATTTAGTGCTTTGCAGACCTAAGGAACTTACCAGAACTACAAAATTATTAGTGGTAGATATTAGGCTATAAGCCTCTGGCTTCATTATGAGAACTCAGTAAAATATGAAATACCTAAATCTGAGGTGAATCTCATTTAAGTATGAGGTAAATCTCTCATACTTAATGCAAGTAGAGTTGTGAAATTTTAGGTTAAGAACATTAGCATTTGGAAAGAATCCTAAATGTCTAGTTGGCTACTTAGTAAAAGACTTACTCTCAATGGCTTTCCTGTTAGATGGATGTTCAGCCTTTACTTTTGGAAATACAGTGTGGGGTTCAGTATCCCCATTGGGCAGTCTTTCCATGACTGGACAGCTCTGACAACTCTAGTAGTAGCTAATTATTTGAAATCTTTCATTCTTTCATTTCTGCTCATTGTCCTTAGTTTATTCTTCCAAAACTAAGAGAATGAGTGTCCCACATATATGCAGTAACTGAGAGTAATAATGATAGCAAATATTTGTTGCATACACTGTGTTCGGCTCTATGCTAAGCACTTTTAAATACAGTATTTTATTTCATCCCCCCAGCAGCCCTATAAGACAGGGACAGTTATTACCCAGATATTTAAGGTAACCTCCTCCTCTTCCCCTTCTTTTCTGAAGTGTTTTCAGCTCCTTCTTGTTTAGTAAATATATATAACTTGCTATTTCTTTTGTCACCCAGCAAGTTTCATCTTTAAATGTGCTGCCCAGAATCAATCTATACATCAGATATTATAGGATGGTACTACTATCATGTAGCATAAAGTAGATGTTACATTTATATTAGTGCAGACAAACTTTAAATATTTTTTATTATAATCATTTTCAAAGTAGATAAAAACAAGGGTATAATGAATCTACATGTACCATCACCCAGTTTCATTAAAGATCACCATGTGATCGATCTTGTTTTATCTGCATCCCTATCCTGGGTTATATTAATACATATCCTTCAAATTACAGAGAAGAGAATATTCCAGTGTATGAACTCAGTTTCTCATTACATATTTCACTTCTTGTTTTCATAAGTTATAAGTCATTCTAATAATTATCCAGTTTAGAACTAATTTGTGTGAGCCTTTTTGAACTACTCCAAAAGTAAACGTTGACTATGAAGTGCTATTGTATTTGAGTTGCTTTGCTGCTACAAGACAGGGTCGGGCTAGGGCTAAGTGAAATTGCAGCACAAGTGCTGGTGAATCTTATCGTTAGCATCTTTTCTTACCGAACTGTTCTCTGCCTCTGTCACATGTCCCTTTTGAGGACTGTGCCTGATTTTATCCCACACCTCATTTAGCACCTTATCTTTGCAAGCCCCCAGGCTTCAGTAGTGCTGAGCTTGCTAACTCCTCTCTCAAGGGAAAAGACCTGGTCTGTTGGTCGTTGACCTTGTTTCGAGAAGAGACTAGCATATCACAAATTGTATTTCTGGCAGTATATCCACAAATTGTTAATAAGTCTTCTGGGAAGAAGAATGGTCCATGGTTAGATAACATTGGGATGGTATCCCTAAAAATAGCAAATTCTTCAGGCTGTAATTTAATTGTAAAAACTTACTGTGTGGCCCCACTTAAATGACTTAGCTTGTCTTTCCTCAGAATCAAAGGCTTTTGGTGGCTGTGACTCATTACTACTTGTTATTTATATATAGTCAAAGACACCCTACTCTGCCCCAATTCATATACCTTAATCATAGAGCATTGGTTGCAGGAGTTATGCGTACCCCCCTAATGCATATATTGTGTGGTTTCAGAGATAAGTAGACATGAAAAAGAAAGGCCCATATTCTTATGAAAGTAGTACTTGAATGCATGTGCAAGTTTTAGTCATTTATTTATTTAGCACGTACTCAAGCAGAGGAGGAGGGTAGAGAGAGAGAGAAAATGAAAATGAGAATGAATATGAGTCTTAAGCAGGCTCCACACCCAGTGCAGAGCCTGACACACAGTGGGGCTCTATCTCACCACTGTGAGATCATGACCGGAGCTGAAATCAGGAGTTGAATGCTTAACTGACTGAACCACCTGAGCGCCCCTACAAGTTTTATTTTGATAAATTCACAAGCCTGATGTTTTGCATGCTCTCTGTGTGTTATGCCTTGTGCCAGGAATTCACAGTGGATAGATAGGATCCGTGCCCTCATAGAGAAATGGTCAAGTAAACAAGTCTGAGTTACCAATTATGAGTACAAGTATACTTCAGATAGAAGAAACAGGTGTAAAATCTCTTACTCAAAAGAGAGCATTCTTGACACTTTCAGGAACCTGGATGAATTCCATATAACTATAGCACAAGCTTTGAGAGTAGGAATGATAAGACATGAGGATGGAGAGGAAATAGGCCAGCTTGAAGGGCCTTGTGGACTTTGTTGAGGGAGTTTGGCCCTTGGCTGGGGAATCACTGAGGGTATCAAGCAAGGAGTGTATTGAAAATTTGGCCTTTTAGGACAAATATCATACGTTTGCACGTATAGGAGGATTAGGAGGAACTTGACGGAGGAACAAGGGGGAGAAGAAGGGGGGAAATGGTGGGGGAAAGGGAGAGAGGCAAACCATGAGAGACTCTTGAATGCTGACAAAAACTGAGGACTGATGGATGTGGGGGGGAGGGGGGATGGGCATGGAGGAGGACATTTGTGGGGATGAGCACTGAGTGTTATGTAGAAACTAATTTGACAATAAACTATTTGTAAAAAAAAAAAAAAAAAGAAAATTTGGCCTTTTAGAAAGATCACAGTTGGTAAAACGCCTTTGCTCATATGTACAGAATTAAGTGAGAAACACAACTTCAAGATGTTAGATTTTTTTTTTAAGAATGAACATTGAGAATTCAGTAGTATACTTGGTTGCTATTGGTAATGGCTTTATTTTTCAAAATAAAGTTTTAATTAACAAAATTAAAACATTGTATAATTTGGAAAGAAAAAATAATGCAGTAATCTATAATACTATGTCCTAAAATAACATATTTAAATTATAAAATTATTAATGATTATTCCAATGTAAGATCCTTTATATCTTGCTGTGTCAATAGCTGTGGAATTAATTCTTCTCTGATACATTTACAGGAGAGACAGAAGCAACTTGAGAGTCTTGGAATATCTCTTCAGTCTTCTGGGATTAAAGTTGGGGATGACAAATGCTTCCTTGTTAATATGAATGCTGATCCTGCTCTGAATGAACTTCTGGTTTACTATTTAAAGGTGAAATAACAAATTTTGCTGCTATTTCCTGCCGTGATATAGAACAATATCTCATAGCATTTTTTTTTTAACTTGGAGAAACATGCTTATTCAAAAATAATAAATAAGCACATTGTTTTTATTTGAATAAGCTAGAGTATAGGAAAATCTTGAGTTTCTGGGATTAGTCTCCCATTTTTGTCCTCAAGCCATGTAACTCAACCTAGTAATATAAAAACTAATATTCTGATGTTATTTCCAAGAAATTAAGTAGCTTAACTACTAGGATTGACTGTGATTTATGCCAGTTAGTTAAGTAGATAACTTTAAAATTTTTTTTAATGTTTTATTTATATTTGAGAGAGAGAGAGAGAGACAGTGTGAGCAGGGGAGGGTCAGAGAGAGAGGGAGTCACAGAATCCGAAGACAGGCTTCAGGCTCTGAGCTAGCTGTCAGCGCAGAGCCTGACGCGGGGCTCGAACCCACTAACTGTGAGATCATGACCTGAGCCAAAGTCGGACGCTTAACCGACTGAACCATCCAGGCACCCCTAGTTAAGTGGATAACTTTAATGCTTGAAGAATGACCTTTAGAACTAAACAATTTATTAATAGACTAAAGTTTTTGTCATTTATACGAAGCATACCCTTTTCTGAGTGGTTACCAGATTACAAGAGGAAATGTTTAAAGAAAGTTATGGTGTAGGGCCACTTACTATGAAATTTGTTTCTAGTCTAGTAATTGGAAAATTTAAAAATTTGGATTATTGACTCCTGAAAAAAAAATAGGTCACTTAGAGAGTGAGAGGGTCAGAGTGTAAAACAGAATAAAACCCCCAAATAGTAATGTACGTTGAAATCTATAAATTGTGGCACTTATTCAGGAAGATAAGAGACAACTTTAGAAGAAGGAGGAATCCTGAGACACTACCTAAATTATGAGGAGATCACCAAAATCACCTTGTCAAGCCCAGGGTATAAATGAATTAGTTAATGGACTGTATGATTCTGTTTTTGTTTTTGTTTTTTTTAATTTTTTAATGTTTTTTATTTATTTCTGAGAGGGGGAGAGAGCGTGAGCAGGGTAGGGTCAGAGAGAGAGGGAGACACAGAATCCCAAGCAGGCTCCAGGCTCCGAGCTAGCTGTCAGCACAGAGCCTGATGTGGGGCTCGACCCCATGAACTGTGAGATCATGACCTGAGCCAAAGGCAGACACTTAACCGACTGAGCCACCCAGGCACCCCTGGACTGTATGATTCTGACATGTGGTTAATACATACTGGGAGGAAATCTCTTCCACCCTTACAATATAGACACTGTATATGTAGGTTTAACTGAGGTGATTAGGAAAGTAAAGATAATGAGCTGGTAAAGTTGGAAATTGCTTTAAAATTAGAAAATTGTGTGGTTTCATTTCTAAAGAGACTGAAGAATTCATGATGTGTTGTCTAGTTTACCAGGTTTTATTAAAGATATCCTGGGGAATAATTGGTTTGTGTTATTTTGATAAAGCCCCTTTATTACTGTGTATCTGATACCATGTTATGCTATGAATTATGTCATATTTTTGTTACATACAGTGTATGTGCGCTCTCAGCTACTGTGCTCAAGTGGGAGCAGCATGGGAGTGGTAGGGAGATGAGCCGCATTTTTAGTCTGGTACGCTGCTTAACAGGTGTGTGATCACAAGTCCTTTGTCCCCCCAGTCTGCAGATTTATCCTATTCATCCCTCCTCATGGGAGCCCTGTGAGGATTAAATGAGATTTGATATCTATAAGCACTTTGTAAACAGAAGCACTATACAAATATAGTATATTCCTCATACCATCTTCTTACTTGATACTCTGTGTGGTGCCTTATGTATGTTATCCTTGTCTATTGCAAAAAAAAAAATAAGTGATCACATCAGTTACTGTGTTTCTTAATGATGTTGGCAGCATTTTCTGTTAGGGTTTCAGCTATAAGTATTCATAAAAGCTTTAGGGGAGTTGCAAGACAGAATAGGATGCAAATCTTCTGCCCTTTTTATTTCTCAGAACTATGAATTCTTTTTCTTTCTGATGTGATGAAGTTCAAATTCAAACACACAAACACATACGCCCAACTAGAAAAAAAAACCTGAATCATATCTGTTCTTTAACTAAAAAATTAAACAAAGGAACTATTTAAAGACTTTTGGACAGTAGTCAAAATATTTCTGGTCATCTTGTGTGGAGGTGTCGGGATTCTGTTTCAGACTGTGTGGTCAACCCTGTTTTGGCAGAGTCTAAGGCAGTGCTGATTTCTTCACTACCCAGGCTAACCCCATGACAAAAGTATATTCATGACCAAGCACATTCAAAAGGATGATCTCAATCCAAGAACAGTTTTTTGCTTCAGTAAAGTGATACCATGATGTGGGATGGAGGAATTTGGAGGCTGAGCGTTATTTTTTTTTTCTTGCCTTCAAATTCTGAACTCAATTTAGATGCTGGACAGATGACTTCATATCTCTGGGTGATTTTCAGCACCCCATCTATAAAAGGAGGACCCTGGATCAAATTATCTCTAACATTCTTTCTAGATCCAAATGGTATAATTCTCTTCCAGAACAGAATCCTCTGTATATTTGTTTTGTCTGGAGCTCATAGAGGCAAGGTATGGTGGCCAAACCATAGATGGAACATAACTCACAAGATAATTTTGCATCTAATTTGCATGTGTGGGCAGTCCTTACATGGCATGGTTCCAACATACACAAATTTCAGTTACCAAAGTCTAGTTAGATGATGCTGACACCACTGCCGTTTGTGGGATTTTACACATGCAGCCAGGGAGATGTCGTGAAGGTGAACTTATCAGTGTAAATAATGAAAGTGTGATGAGAAAGATGAAGATGGCTCAAAGGGAGTGACACCAGAGAACACTTCACACTAAACGAACTCTTGGAGATATTTCACAGCATCTAGAGCACAGCGGTTAAAATGGTAGAAGCTTAGAAAGGAGTATCACAGTTTGCCAAGGCACAGAAAATATTGAAAATATGCTCCCTCCATGTTAGTAAATTATGTATTGAAAGAAGGCAAGTACTGTTCAAACTACTCTTGATAAACTTTTAACAAAGAAATGTTTTTTGATTTTAAATTGACTTCATGCCCAGTATGGAGCCCAAAGCGGGGCTTGACCCTGAGATCAAGACCTGAGCTGGGATGGGGCACTTGGATGGCTCAGTCGTTTAGCATCTGACTCTTGATTTCAGCTCAGGTCATGACCTCATGGGTGTGAGATCAAGCCCTGCACAGGCTTCATGATGACAGCACAGAGTCTGCTTGGGATTCACTCTTTTTTTCCCTCTCTCTCTGCCCCTGCGTTGCTCATGGTCTTTCTCTCTCTCTCTCTCAAAATGAATAATAAATCTTAAAGATTAAAGAGATTAGTCTTAAAGATCTCTGAGCTGAGATCAAGAGTCTGAGGCTTAACCAACTGAGCTACCTAGGTGCCCCAGAAGTAAAATGCTTTCAATTTCAGTGTTTCTAATAGTCTAAATTACAGTTTACTAAGTAAATATTAGTTTTACTATTTTTTGATTACCCTATACGTTGTAACAGTAAGAGAATTCTTAATGTTTTTACTGTCATTTTAAAAAGTCACAGAATAATTTGTGTCCCCATTGATTATGAAGATCTCCTTGCAAAGTTCTATTTACAGTCCTGTGCTCTCGTACAAAGCAAGGACTGCTTATGATTCTAAGACAGTCTTGGACATCTATACCAAAGCCAGCCAAGCTTCTCAAGGGAAGAGCTGCTTCTCTCACCTTTAAAACATGATGCTAGTAATACACTTTGTTTTCTTAAGAGTTTTATAAACACATATTAGAAAAAGAGGGGAGTTTCATGCCCAAATTCCAGCACGCAGAGATGACCACAGTTAACATTTAATAGTTTTATCTGTATCTGCTGGTTCTATTCCTATATGTATGTCTATAGACTTATACTGTTACATATTTTTAAATTACAGAAATGGGATCACAGTAGGATTGATTCTCATCATGCCTTTGAATCATCTGCCAGATCTCTCAGAAGGGCTATTTGCTTATGCAGTTCTGGGTTTGCTCTTTGCACAATTCAGCTATTAATGGCCCTGGAAGCAAGGTTGATTCTGAAGGATTTGGGGCAAATTATACATATATACTTGATAAGGATTTGTACCAGTGATTCAGCAGCAACTTTAAATGTTTTTATTTATTTTTGAGACAGAGAGGGAGAGCACATCCTCGTGGGGTACGGGGTAGGGGCAGAGAGAGAGAGAGCGAGACAGAGGATCTGAAGCAAGCTCTGTGCTGACAGCAGAGAGCTGGACATGGGCCTTGAACTCATGAACTGTGAAATCATGATTGAACTGAAGTCAGTCACTTAACTGACTGAGTCACCCAGGCGCCCCAGTTTGGCAGTGGCTTTAAAACACATCTATCCTACAGTATAGCTCCCATTGGAGGTAAACTGCCTGTTTTCCTCTTTGCCATATTCACAGTCACCAATTGAGATGATAAGAATGACAGAAGCATCAGCTATTCAGTGTTTGGGAAGCTGTGGGTTGGGCCCCAAGGACCACAAGATGAAGAAGACACAGTCATGGCACAGTGGAGTTCTTTGGTTGGCAGCAGTTTGGCTCGTGTAGCGTAGGGTTTGAATTTGTAAAAGATGGGAAGATACCATACCTACCCTTTTCACCTCCATTCCAGAAAAGCTATCTTCAGAGTCCAGGTTCTGTTAAGCTAGCATGACTTCTTTATTAAAGGATTTTGATTATTTAGATATGTGAAGCATAACAGGTACTTTTCTGCTTAGTGCCCCTGGACTTACTTGCCTTTTCCTTCAGAAATTATTTGAGAATACTGGTAAGACTGAGGGACCTCACAGCCTTTATTCATATGCTACTTTTCTTCTTGCCGGCTGGGAAAAGCTTCCCTGTGAAATATGTCACTAGTGGACAAATCCTGTCTCTCTTCATCTTCCTTTCTCGCCTTCCTCTTTACTCCTCT